CCCTGCCCCCAGATTGCTGCCCCTCGGGCTGGGTGCTCTACAGGGGCAAATGCCTCTTCATCTCGGTGGAGAAGAAGAGCTGGTGGGACAGCTATCATGACTGCAGGAGGAGATCCGCTTCCCTGCTGGTCCAAGGCGACTGGTCAACCTGGACAATGCCGGTACAGAGCAGGGGGGCTGTGGCACCCCAGGAGGGTGAGGACAACAGCGGGGCTGGGCAGAGCCCCGTGGAGCCAGCAGCAGCGGCATTTGTGGAGCCGCTGGGGTGGCACTTCAAGCCCTGGGTGCCCATCCTGGCAGGCTGTGGGGAGGAGCATGGCCGGCCCCGGGGCTCCTGGGCAGCAGGTGGGTGCTGGGCATGGGGTAGGCAGTCGACAGCTTCTCTCCTCTCAGCATTTTGTGCAGGCTGATGGTGCCTCTTACTGGGTTGGAGCCAAATATACTTCTGAACACAAGAGGACACTTGTATGGCAGAACAACAAGGAGTTCAAAGTGTAAGAGCTGTTTAATCCCTCTGAGACCCCCCTGGCAAAGGGGCTGATGCTCCAACAAGCAGTGCCCCGAGGAAGGGGCCCCTGGGCAGAGCCCAGCTGCAGTGTACACTGCTGGGTTTCCAAGTGGCATAGCAGGAGGTTGCAGGGTGGAAGTGGCCCTGGGACCTGTGGGAAGGGGAGTCCATGGTGTGGATGCTGCCACTGCCCCTCTAAGACATGCCCTCTCTCCTAGTTATGACCGGAATGCAGACTGCGGACTAACAGCTAACGGGTTTATAGATAGTTCAACATGCCTTAAAAAGTGTCAGTGGATCTGTGAGCAGCCCCCGAAGCTAAGCAGTGCATCTGAGACCCTCCTTCCTCTCCTGGTCAAGGACTGACTGTGCTGCCACCCTGCTTCATCACAGGACTCAGGGACAGGAGCTGGAGTTGCATCCCAAGACCCTCTGCCCTGTGCCCACATTGCCTCAACCGTGTTGCAAAGCGCTGGGAAAGGGTGTCTGTATTCTAAAGCAAGGATCATGGAAAACAGGCCTTATTCCCCTCTCTCACATTCATGTATACACTTATACCACCTTGCACTGGTCCTCTGTGTGTCCCTGTGTGCCCCAGCCAGCACCACTCACAGTAACCCTGGACTCTAGTGCAGACCCCACCTCTCACCTTCCATCTCTTCCAAGGCTGCCAGTGGTGCGCTGGTGCAGTCCCCCACCTGACCTCTTCAGGAAGTCCTGTGGATTTACTGTCTGTCCCTTTCCTTAGCATTGACAGCTCCCATCCTGCCCTTTCTCCTGCCTCCATCACCTGCCCAGGGCTTTAGGCTGGGCCTTGCCTGGGGAGGGTGCAGGTAGTGGTGCCATCAGCATGGGAAACTGCTGGGAAGCCCTGCAACCATGGGGGAGATAGGAGAGCACTGGGGAGCTCTGAGAGCATGATGGGGTGGAGGAGGGAACCCTGAGACCATGGGGGGTGAATAAGAGAGCCCTGATACCATGGGGGAAATGGGGATGCCGTGAAGACCCCCGAGATGATGGAAGGCAAATGAGGGAGCCCTGAGGTGGTGGGAGGAAATGCAGGTGCAGTGAGGAGCCTTAAGACAGTGGGAGAAAGAAAGGAGCACTGGAGAGGCTTCGGAATATGGTGGAAAAGGGAGATCTCTGCCACCACAGAGCAAAGATCCATAAGACCATGGTGAGACCTGAGTTGCTGGGAGGGTAATAAGGCACCCCTGTCTCCGACCTGGCTGGGGTGTGTGTGGGAGTCCAAGGGCAGCTCTGACCTTCCCTGTCTCACTCAGTGTTTCTGCAGAGGGGGACAAGGCAGGGTCCACTTTGCTAAGCTGGATGCAGGCAGGTCCTGGGAGTGGGAATGTGGAAGGAGGTTGGTGGAGCCAGCCCATGGCATGGTGAGGCTGGGACTCTGGGGCAGGATTGCAGGAGGTCCCCTGCAATCTCAGCTATTGTGTGAAAGAAGGACTTGCTGTGTTTTGCGTGTCCTGTAGAGCCCAGATGTGGTCTCCCTGGTGCCTACAGAGGAACAGGCTCCCTGTCCCTGGAGACCCAAGCCCCAACCACCACTACCCACAGTGTCACTGAGCTCTGCCACCGTAAGGACACACTGCTCACTCCTGTCCAACCTCTGGTTTATGGGTCCACCAGGTCTGTTCAGCATGTCTGCTTGCTTGCTCATCTTGACAGGTGGGGTTTCTCCTTCCTTCCCAGCTGCAGGACTCACCCCCTCCCCCATTCAACATCAGCAAGCTCCCACCAATCAGTTTCTCCAGGTCCCTCCAAACAGCAGTCCTGCCCACCAGTATACCCGCTCCTGTCCACACACAGAGAATCATCTAGGTTGGAAAGGACCCTGAAGATCATCCAGTCCAACCGTTCGCCTAGCACAGTTCCCACCTACAGCATATCCTTAAGCTCTAAATCCACCCTACTCTTGAACACCTCCAGGGATGGGGACTCCACCACCTCCCTGGGCAGCCCAATCCAACACCCAACAACCCATTCTGGAAAGAAATGCTTCCTAATATCTAGTCTGAACTTTCCCTGGCACAACTTGAGCCCATTCCCTCTTGTCCCGTCACTTTCTACTAGGCTAAAGAGACTCATCCCCAGCTCTCTGCACCCTCCTTTCAGGGAGCTGTAGAGGGCCATGAGGTCTCCCCTCAGCCTCCTCTTCTCCAGACTAAAC